CGGGGCTGCGATGCCCGAGGTCCCCAGGCTCCCGAGCGAGTGTGTAGCAGCCGCGCGCGTGTGGGGCAGCGTGTCAGCGCGCGTGTTGGAGATGAATTGGAGTCACACGACTGGGTGTTTCCTTCCGAGTGGTTTTGATCAGCAAACCATTAAGGGATCATGGAAACTTTTTTCTGGCTTAAACGACGAAAACTGAGTAAGTACACAGAACTTTGAACTTGAAACGGAATGAAATCAGTACAAGCAAAACCCGACAGTAACCATGTCCACTGAAAACGCTTATTCCCTTTTTATGGTGAAAGCCGTGAATGCTTACAGCAAAGTGGCTATTTAAAACTGAATGAAGGGAAGCAGTTAAGAAACATAAAAGGGCTGAAAACAGGACTGCTTTAAAAACCGGAGGAAAAAAAAGAGGAACTGCTAGCGCAACCTGGCCTGAATCCAGCTGTGCAACAGGCATTTTTAATTTTAACCTATTGCGTTCTCCAGGGCAGTTTTCAGACTCCAGATTTACTTTGGTGTTGTTTTTTCTTTTCCCAGTAAAGTTGAGACAGAGCTGAACTCCTTTACTGTGAGCTTGGATGTTGTGAAAATAAGGCATTTCCGGAAGCAACAGTTTGTCAGTCTGGGATGCACTCAGATGATTAGTTACAATTATTATTGTTTTGATGTCTTTTTTTTTTTTAAATCCCAGCTCAGCTACTTTTTACTGTCATCTATGGGAATGCTCTCATTAATCACCTCTGACTTTTGGAACCTGTGATCCGTTGGCATGACCTTTTGGAAAGTTCTTAAGCGGAGATGGAGCACACTTGACTGCAATTGTGGAAAAAGAAGACAGATTTGTCTTTTTCATACGGACAAAAAATAGCTGCTATGACTTTTCCAGTAACGTGGACAGGGGCCAAGTGAAGCTGAACTGGTCATGCTCTGTCGCCCAGTTTTCCTTTGTCGTCGGAGATTGTGCACCCGGCCCTTCTTGGTGGGCTTGGTGGTGGCAATCTGTCTCTTCTACCAGACCCTGACCATCCGAGGTAGGAGGAAGCTCACGGCCTCTGTCCCTGGGGCTGGCTCCCACTCACATACAGAAACTCAGGCAAACCGATGCAAGAACAGCTCCACGCAGAACAAATACTGCTTCCTTTTCTCTGGTAATGCACAGGAAATCAGAAAGGTAAGACTCCAAAGCTTTACTGAGACAATTTCTGCAAAGACAGCAAATCTGCCTTGAGTTTCCTCTCTGTAAACTAAAATTAACTTCCATGAGGTCTGAAAGGGCTCCAGAGGATAAACAGCCCAGAGAGTGACCTGATGACTGGGAAACATGTTACATAAGCTTCAGCTTCTTCTATCTGCTTCCAGATATGTCTAGTCACTATTTTATTTTTTATAACTTCACTTCCTTTCACTGGAATGACATAGATAATTTGGAAATGGGTGATTCCTTCTAAAATATTAAGAATTGAAGAGACCCAAGGCTTTAAAGATGAGAAAAATAAATCAAAGCTTCAAAAATTTGATAAACAATGTGTGTTTTTCCTTAAGGTAGTCGGTATGAGTGCCCAGATCATTCCAGACTGAAAAATAGCTGAAATTCCATTTTATAATAGGATAACTACATTCTTAATTGGTGGATGCATTTCTAAAGCAATACATTTATTTCTGAAACATTTAAAAGGGTGATTTGTCTTTCATCATTCATAAAGTTAGGGAAATTGAGATTATTCTATACTTACACTATTCAGGAGAACTTCACTAGTCTTGTCAAGATTAGGAAAAACACAAGGAAACATAAAATTTCTATTTTAATATGTACTTTGTTCATATCGTTCAGTAAAATGCTAACCTTTGTAACAGTCCAGTATAAAAAAAAGAAAAAAACTGTATAAAAAATGGTGGCAGAGTTGCTAAATCCTATGTTATCATAGCAAGATAATTTAGGAAGCTGTAAGTAATATCATATCTCTAACATAGATTTAGGTCCATCTTCTGATCATGTTGTTTGTAACAGAATTCCCTTGTGGATACCAGCACTACTGCTGTCATCACCAACTCCTCCAGTGCCACCACTATTTTGTTTTTAAAACTGTTGTTCATTTTATTTCAGACTCATAATAGTCACTATAGAAATAGCACTTGTAGATATGATCATCATCAATTTCCAGATAGGATATGTGACACAGTTTGTTTAGATAATCCACATGGCTAGCTTTAGGAAGTGGTACGTCCCAAAGGAACAGAAAAATCCTCTGTGGTTCCTACCACAAGGATGTTCCTCTAAATAAAACCAAATCCAGTGCTCTCAAAATAATTTGTGAAACAAGTACTAAAATATATTATTGCAATACAAAATTAGATTAGATTAAAATGGAGAAAATTTGAAGACCTTTGAGTGTCATTGGTTAGCAATAATGTCAAGGAATATGTTGACCAAGAAATATAGCAAAGAATAGCAGACAATATAAGTGGAAAAACCTTTAGAAGTAACTTTGACTGAATGTGCAGATAAAGTTTTAGATGCTATGAAATAATTGAGTAATGTAAAGTTTTGGTTCATTTATCCTGACATTAACTTTTATATGCATTTTTCTTTTCTTGAACACATTCCATTTATGATTTATCAAAGTCACTTTTGTTAGTTTCTAACAGAGATAACTATAATTTGTTTAAAAACAGTTGAGGTAGTTAATATATTAAAGTCCCTAAAATATTTTCTATGAATATTATGTAAAGGGGTTTTACTCATTAACTTAATCTTTTTTTACCCTATTAATGACTTTCAATGATGCCTGCTTTATTTGTAATTTAAGCGTGTTAGCTGCTATTTGCACACTGTCACAGAAAATTCCATTTCAACTTTGGTTCTCCTGTACTTATAAACAATCTGAAACTTTACATTCACTCTAGAATTTTCTTCACCAAAAAATGCCAAACACATGGTGATTTTGGTTTCCAAATGATTCACAGTCTTAAATATTTCTACCATAAGCAAGATCCTAAATTCAAAATTATAGTTCAGAAGGCTAGTAGATATGAATTCTGGGCAATGTGTCTCCACTTTCAACCTGCATCAGCCACTAGGGTAGAGCTAGTTTTTGTTCAAGAGAAGAAGGAAAGTAGAAAGAAGTATGATGCAGACTTTAGTTAAAAATAGATCCAAATAAAATTTGCTTGTTATATATGTTCCAAAAAAGAATCAGTTTCACCAAAGATGAATGTAACTAACTGTACTGTATATCTAAAATGTACCAATAAACTCAATGAGTAAAAAGAAAAAGAATCAGTTTCAAATGATTATTCTTTCAGATATCTAACATGAAGTAAGAAATCAACGTATAGATGACATATGGTGATAGGTATTTAGATTATTCTCAAAAATAACTACTTATGAAGTTCATTTAAAAAAAACCATGAGATATTATATAGATGTTCCCAAAGACCAAGAATTAGCCTTTAGGTATATTATAGATATCATGGTATTGTTTCTGACTTTAAATTTTTAATTTTCTTATTACTTTTATTGGCAAGCCAAAATATTTGTATTATTAGATGTTTCCCTTAGTTGACTTTATTTGTCTTTAAGTGCTTTGAAACATTATTTAAAACAGTTGATTTTTACCTATACTTTTATACATTCAAGAATATATTTGGACCAGCCTCTCTGAAGTAAGTGTTAGGATGGGGCGGGGCAGCAATGAACAAGGAGAGAAGGTATTGGGAAAAGGATTCCTGCCTCACAAAAGTCCTACTGCATGTAAAATAGTATTTAAAATTATTGCCACCACTTTCAACCAAAATTCAAAATACGTAATTGTCCCCAGAACACTTTTTGATTTAGAGTTATTCCTGAAGGATCTTTTTCATATCTAATTAATACCAATATTGTTTTTTTGCTATGTAATTAAATTTTTGGTTTTGTCACAAGAGCTGAAAAAAAAAGAATATATTTGGATGCATATAATGTCTATAAACTCCAGAAATTTTATGCAAAATACTATATTTATGTACATATGCAGATTTCTAGGAATATCGATTTTGATAATATATTCAGAACTAAAAACATGCTAAATACCACTACGCATGTTTACCAACCAGTATGTTTAAATGTTTAGTCAGTTGCCTTTCATGATATGTAAATTGGGTCTGGCTTTATAAACCTAAAATGAAAAGAAAAAGACTCCAATTGAGTATATTTAAAAAAGGATTTCAGTGAATGTAGTGATAAACATTCAGAAGTTAGAATATACTCAGTGTATTTTCTAAGTCACAGTTTTAATTCATTGTGGAATGAGTATTTCCCAGTCCTTCTGGTTGGAGTTGCTTCTAAGAAAAGGCCCTTTTCACTTTACTAGTCCAAGAACAGAGGGTTCTGTACTAGCAAATATTTGAAGGTGAAACTGCCCGCTACCCCTTTTCTGTTGGGATCTGATTCAATGTCTAAAATTATTTTCAGTATAAATTGAGACCATGGTGTAGTACCTGCCAACTTTCCATAGTAAGAAAATATTCTCTTTCTTTCTGGCCAAATTTAAATTCATTTTTCCGTTTGGGCATTCCAAAGCTCCTTGCTAAGCAGATGTGCTGCTGTCATTTCTTCTGGATTTCTGTTAACATGGGATATTGGAATATTGTCTGATAATCTGTTATCCTAAAATTCTTTCATTTAATACATAAGTGTTGTACTTTCTTAATTGAAGTAGGTCACTCAGTAGATTTATCTATTTTCATGGAATCTAACACCTTAACATTACAAAACACAGGAAGCACATCAATTATTAACAGATATAATGGAAGAAAATCTCCTTAGTATATGCTCCTGTAATGGAGAGGTTGCTATTTGGGGAAAACATTTATGCTCACTAGAGCCATGTGTTTCTGATTATCTCCTGTTGAGGCTTCAAAATGAGAAGTACTATTTCTTCTATCGCTTGACTATTTGTTTTCCATTGCTTATTACTCTCCCTTCTGTTTCAGTGACTATTCTATAGGACTCCTATTTCCCCCAGGAGCTAACCAGGCCTGAAGCAAATGAGTAAATGTACTCATTTAAACTATTGTAATTCATTTTGTTCAAATTTCTAATAGGTAATGATGTACTTGACATCTGAAAATTTCTTAAAAATTACAAGTGATGATCAAGATATATGATGAATATTTAAATTTTAAAAAGATTTACTATAGTAAAAGATACATTGTCATTATTTCCACTCAAAATATTCCTTCTCACTTTGAACAGATTTATCCTACCGTATGCCGCTTTCCGGAGCAGTACTAGAAGTCCTTTTTGCCTAAGTGTCTTTAATTGTGCTCTTGTAGCTGCCTCAATGTCCTGAAGTGATTCAAAACATTTATCTTGCATGATCGTTTGATTGTGGGGAAGAGCCAAAACTCTCAGATGCTAGATCTAGTGAACAAGGAGGATGAGGACACAGAGTAGTTTTTTAAAGCCCGCCTTTCTATTGGATGGCACTTGGCCTTAGCACTCACCGTATTCTTAATCACTCCTGGTGATCAGAAGAGGACTTCCAGAACTGCTCTAAAAAGTGGCAAGAATGGGATAAGTGTGTTCAAAGTGAGGGGGAGTATTTTGAAGCGCTTCAGTGGCAATGTGTCTTTTAGTGTAATATTGAATTTTAAAATTAAATATTTTATTTTTTATCAGATCTTGGACTTTTTAGAAACAAAACCTTAGGCAAACTCTTACCTACAATACTTTATTTGAAAATACAACCCCACAGATCCCACACAAGAGTGGGGAGGAAAATGAAGAAGGTGGGACAGCAAATACCAGGAGTACTTTCATTACTGGGAGATAAATGCCTTCCCCTACCACATCTCAGAACAGGCATTGGAAGGAAGGGGCAGAAAAAACTAGCGATATTATTTTCTGATTTTTTTTCTTCTCCTGCCTTTTATTGGTTGGAGCCTGTCTTGAGCTGCTCAAGTAGTAAGTCATCTGGATTCTCGGAGCAGACACTTCGGAAGCCAGGGCCTTTGAAGTTGTTTTGCAAAGCCAAGGTGGAGTTGTCTCTCACTTTTAATCAGTACTGTGGTAGGAGCTACAGGTCTGTGGTGCAGAGGTGGTAAAAGCGGGGCCTGGAGCTCTGTGACCTTGGTGGGGTGAGTAACGACCCCCAGGAGGTAGATGAGGCGGAGTGATCTATAATAAGGTCC